GATGAGATCCAACACAGTCAAAGCACCAACGAGTGAGCCGAGATAGATAGCGAATCTCAAGGGTCTGCACCATACTCGAGTACGAGTACTAGTACGAGTACCGTACAGTACCGGTACCGGTACTTGTGCAGGTATCCAGTTGCTTGGGTACCAGAGTGGAAGACCACCGTAACTTGTCACTTCATGGCGTTCTCTAGTTCCCTCGTAACACCTTGTGACTGTTCGGCGAGACCGACACGAATCAGGATTTGCCTAAGGCGAGAGCCGAGAGAGGCTCCGTGCAGGGTCAAATGTCAGTGTTACCGAGCTCTAAGAGGTCGATATCAGATGAGCACATTCCGTCTCCACCAAGCTAGGGCCACCGCCCCAAATCCTCGTCAATCACATTGTACCTAGTACCCGTACAAGAAAGCCTCGCTTCCCCTCTCAAGAAAGCACCATCGCACAAGCGCATCTCCATCTCAACTCCGCAGTTATACGTATCCTCGTGACACAAGTGTTACCCCCCAAAATAAACTAGTCCTATGAAGCAGCACGAGACGAATCTGCTCCCGATGTTAACTGTATCAAAGATATCATTGTACTGTGCATAAAATCCCAAATCCCACCCAAACCCTTTTTGCCAAGAGCTCTCAGCACTGCCACCCGGAAGTCCGAATAAGTTATCTTTAGTCCTCCATTCTGCAGTTACACGAAAGGGGAAACCCAGTGGTCAGTATATTGGTTAGAGAATCGGGTTTTGAGGGAATTCGTGCGCAGTACGTACCGTAGCAAGTAATTGCAATGACTTCTGTGTCACCGGCCCAGCGTGTCGGGTCCTCCTCATTTCTGAATCATTGCTGTTCTCCAACATCCGGAAACACTCTGCAGAGAACTGCGCAAGAACTGCAGAATGTGAGAGCGAGAACAAGGTAAGAAGGGACTCCTCGCGCTCGTCTACTGCTCTCTGGAGCGAAAGTACGACATTGCTGCTGATGATTAATATCTCAACTTCGCCAACCGCGTCGGAGCGGACTGGCACCACTCAAACCACAGGGCACTTTTCTCACCAAAAGGGCGATGACAAGTGGGGAAGTGGGGGGGGGGGGGGGGCTCTTACTTTGCGAGTGTGCAGCCTAGGGCGTTCTGGTCTTGTTTTGAGTCCGATCCGCCGCATTTGAAGGCACGATTTCTCCAGACCAGGTTGCATATGTCCATCAGAAATCCATTGAAATGGTTTACATAATCTCGAGGGTATTCCCCCGCACCATTTGAATGACCGGATTGGGCCTGTCGGAGTGAAAGCTCGAACCCGCGCTTATATCTGGATGGATAGTAATCAGTTTGCGGGGCTGCACTGTGAGGCGAGAGAACATCCAAACCTGGATAGTATGCCGCAGATCCTTGATAGTGTCATAACATCGCCAGAGAACACGAAGTAGTACACCACTTGATCAGGCGGTAGAACTATACGGAAAAGTCCGTTTTCCCATGGAGGTGCACAAGTGCCTTCATAGAAACATAATATCGCATCGGTTATCAAGTTCGATCCCTGAAAGTTCTAAGATACGAATTAGCTTAGCATGCACCAAGTGCGTTTTGGGTAAAGCGAAAAATACCGCAAGGCCGGCCAAGCAAATCTGGCCTACATGACTTAGAAGTTTGCGCAAAGCTAGAGACTCCTCCTGAGAGAACTCAGGTTCTTGGGCTTGATTTCCGTACGTGATAGCCCACTGACGGATGAGTTCAGTGTAGAAGGCGACTAGCTTTGCTATTGAGGCCTCACCGCGATCTTTGAGCCGACGATCTACCAGAGCAAAAAAATTGCTGCGCAACTCTGCATAAAAGTTAGGCAATGATCAGGAGGGGCCTTTCTGAAACCTACCTTCGAACTCCCGAATAGGAAGGAAACACAGGAGACCCAGGAGGGTCTTTGTGTGGGAATTCCCGGTCCAAGTCCGTAAGTACCTCTTCAGGAAATCCTCAACCGCAGGTAACAAACGCTACACAAAGATTTAACTATCAGCCCTCGGTAAAAATCTAGTCTATCGATTGTAATCTCATCGAACCCTTGCGGAACGAGTGTACTCCAAAACTCGAGAAAGGAAATGCTCCGTTCTATCCACGCTCCTTAGATTTGACACCGGGGGTGGATGAAGCTCAATGGAAAAACGCGCCGCTAGCCAATTATTGATCCTCAGGCTTGCCTCATCTATTGGATCGATTAGTCAAATTGCTGGTCGATATCTCCCTGCGGGTAATGGTAATTGGCACCTGATGGTTTCAACGATATTAATTTCCGAAGCAATGGATCCTCCAGCGCAGCAACAAGCTGATTTGGCAACTCGAGTCGATCCAGTTTTTTAACAAAGTCGCTCACATCCTCAACTTCTTCCAAGGTAACCGAGGACTATTCGCTGAGTGAGTACATTGATATAATTGCGCAAAAGACGGGAACCCTACCTCAACAGCGCGGAATGTGTGAACTTCCGGTATCACAATATGGTTTGTCTTTTGCCTTTTCATGGCCTGGCCGCCAATCTTCCTCACAATCCTGAATGAAGATTGAGAATCGGATGGACCAGAGTAATCGTCCGCACTCGATTCTTGAATTAGAAGAAGCTTCTGCATCCACTCTATGTTTGGATGCTGATCATTCACGAAATTTCAATCAGTCACGCAGGAGCAAAGAAAAGTGCCCAGCACTGCGGTTCGGGGAGGGTGGTAGTTACGGAAAAAACTCCAGCTCTAGCAATGGCGGTTTCTCCTACAATTACATCGGGATAGTAGTCCTTGTAAACTTGGAGCAGGCCAAGCAAGGGCTGTTCATCCCCCAGGTTCTGTTTGAGCACCAGTCTACTGACGTCAGCTATGAATCCTAAACACCGAAAGGCTGCCACAATATTGCCGAAAATTTGGACAGCAAAAACATACAAAGCCTGAATACGGAAAGGCTTGACGTGTCTTCTCCGTGTAAGAGAGGACAAAATATGGCACAAATGACCCCTAAGGATTGTTAGGTGAGAACTTCCTTTACCTGTGGCTTTCCTTTCCCCCCACTTTTCATCCTTTGGAAAAAGACGTACCTCAAGGTGATCATATCCAGGAGATTGAACAGGACGCCATAGAGCTGCGAGAGAACATCATAGGATTCCAAAACATCGTATACCATTACCAGCCAACGCAACAAGAGAGCCTTTACGGGTCAGTTTGAACCAAGGGGGGATGCTATGTATTGATGGGCGGTACCTGCGTTGCGGGGGAAGGCTTGCTTTGCCCTTGGCCGAGGCTTCCAACCACCTTAACTACAACATTTTCGGATACTTTTCTCCTCGGAAACAATATCTTGAAGATGCTTCCCACAGAGGACTGGTCGAGATAGCACGGTGAGGTGGCCAAGACATCAATGAGAGCTTCTAGGCTATCATTGGCCAAGCCGCAAACTGTTGAGTGCTGAGATATGGAACCTATCACACCCGCAATCCGGTTTTTCGAAAGGGAGTTTCGAATCGAAGCAGCTGGGCAAAGTAAGCAGGCTGCATTTATGCGATCTGATTAAGCAATATACCTCCGCGAAGCTGGTCAATCAGGCTCTCCACATCCTCGGAACCGGAATTATACCCTGATTTTACAGGTCAGTGTCTATTTATTTCCCCCCAAAAGATAAAGGGGGAAAAATAAAATATGGACCGATTTGCAAGAGTGGTCGGTGTGCGTGATTGTAATCATCAAGCCAGCAATCGGGAATTGAGAAGGATGATGTTATCATACCTTGGCTTCCAGGCTCTGAAGGCATTGTCTGCTAGGGTTTGTGGGGCGCGGTTGCTGACTGATCAGGAAAACCTTTGCACTGCTAGTACCGGTATTGGTATCGGGAGGGGTGGTACGGGGAGCGGTGGAGGATGGAGGAGGGTGGAGGGTGGGAGAGGAAGGGGGAGAAGGGAGCCGAGATGGAAATACCGGCAGGTAGATAGATTATCACACAAGGGTACTGGTAATCAGGGAGACAACTGAGAAAAAAAATGCAGGCCCTCGATCTCACTCAATGGAGAAGGGCTTTCCATTGGTCTCGACAGAGTGGCTGGAGGGTGGAGAGACGCGTCTATTCCGCGCTTGCCAGTCGTCTGTCGGATCGACGTGCCTCATGTCTCACATTAACACCTCGGTCCAAAGCACCATCAGAAACGCAATCAATTTGCTGCCATACCGGCACTTGTACTTTTCCCACGCGATGAAGCAGTGATGCCCACCCACCCCCACCCCCCCGAACCACCCACGTACCGTACCGGTACACCACCGGTACAATATATGTACTCGAGCACAAGTACGGTACCCTGAACTAGTTGCATGATAATGGTGCCGAAGGTGGACTCTCGGAATTCCAAATACCGTAAAGCACTGTATGTACTCGAGCACTGCACATCGAAATCCCTGAGTGCCTGCGCGGTGCGTCAAACTCCTGTGCGAGTACGCTGCTGGACAAGGCAGTGTACCGTACGCCCTAAGTGTGATATGCTAGTATCCTATCCAGGTTAGGTTGCACAAGCACTAGGTTCATGGGGTTATGAACCTTGTCACTTTTATCGTACAATACTTGAACAGGTGAGCGGTTGATTGTATCACGTGCTTTCACTCCCCCTCCGAGTGACACCCATCTTTGAATTCAAATGCTGGGTTGCGGTGGGCGGTTATGGGTGCCGGTATATCACGCAGTCTACGGTATTTCCCCAACTTACCAGTGCTTCATGACCCAGTACCCGTACAGCGCAAGCACGGCATCGGAATGTCCGCCGTGGTGCTACCGGTGCGCTTGTTGCCCGCCTTGAATATTTTCAATTTCAGATATAGCCGGGTGCTCGGGAAGATGTGGGAATAGATATATACCCTACATAGGTGCCATAGCGTATCCCCAACGCACAAGTACTCGAGTATTGTACTAGTACTCGTACTGTACACACATTATGCTTCCTCCTTGTTTCCGAACTGCCGAAGGATACCTACCGGTGGCTCGCCGGTCAGACCCGTGCGCGGTCGGACGGCGAACGGTCAACTCAGAGCTTGATCGTTAGTTCGGGGGAGCATGGCACTGTACTCGAGCGCGGGTGACGGTTGCGACGTTGTACGGCGGATACTTACCGAGTTGAGGGAAGCAATACGGTATTAGCGAGTCATTTCAGCCCAACCGGCCTCCATTCCCCCCATCAGCTTCTACGTCATACAATTTAGGTTGATACAAAAAAGAAAATACTCACACCCGTACTGTACCCCTTACAACGAGCTTCACCCCCCCCCCCCCGGGAGATCGGATACACCTAGCAAAGGGTGCAAGGCTGAACCCAGTCCAGAACGTAATACGTCTTAACTACTCAGTTCTGAGTTTTTCACGAATCATTACTCGAAAGTCCCTTCACTCATTTGCGAGTCGGCTCTTGGACTGCCGGGAAGGGGGACCGCCGAGTGATGGGTAGAAAGCGAGGCAATGGGGGGTCACCGCAGACCGAAGTTCAGTATGGGTGCGGGCCTGCCCTACAATCCTTCCTGTACTCGAGTATGATAGCCTCCTACTTGTAATATCGGTAATACCGAGGCCACCAATCAGCCACGGCAGCTCACAGGTGCGCACAGGGTAGATACCGGTACTTTGTGTGATGAAATGCGAGGAATGGGGGGGGGAGGGAGGGAGGCACTTGTCTGATAAAGAGATTCCCGACAAGGCTTTGAACCTGGTGTTCATCTTCGTTGAACGGTCATATTCAGAGCCCAGAAACAACAAAGTTTCCTCCTCCTTTCCCCCCTTCTCCTTCTCCCTATACCGCAGACTTGGCTTGACCTCTCTCCTTAAATCTTATGTAGCAGCATTCCACTGCCCAATGGGGTTTGTGGCTTGACACTTTTGTTCGGTGAACCTTGGTTCTTTGGAGCTTCCCATGTTCGGATGGAGGTTCCCGTCAAATTAGGCTTGCTGAACCACAACGTGTCACACCAGGGTATCTCTGTTCAACCACGGGGAATTCTAAGCTCCTCTGAGGAAGAGTAGCACAAGCGGAGGAGGTTGCTTAGGGTTGCTTTTTGAGCTGGAGGTAAGCCCATGAAAAGGCCCATACTGGCTTAGCGTGGTTGTGTTGTGCTTGTGTCGTCCAAGCTTCCGGGAGCACCGCAACGGCGATCGTCACTGTTGGAAAAATGACGCGAACTAAATGGGGAGCCCGGCCCCCGACGCTTCCACGGGCCCTAATTATCGGGGACGCTGGCCGGCTGGCGGATTTCAGCAGATGGACATGTATACGGGGGATGCTTGAATAATTTCATATATGATAGTATAGCATGTACCGGTATCAGGCCTCATGGTTGGAATGTTGAGCCTTTTTACTAGGTGGTAGGCTGCCTTTTCCTACTCGGCCCCCGCGTTCCGTGATTTTCAAGTGGCCAGTCCTTGCTAATTTTGTGTCACTTCCGTGCTCACTTGCGCTGTGCGACAATATATTCTCTGCCAACTCAATATGCGGTACAACGTTGCGCGGCCTGCCTAGTGCAGAAACTGGGCCCCTGCTTGTGGGTGTTCTGATCGTAAATGATGGTTGAGCAACAAGATGGAGGGGGGGGAGCGAGGGAGAAAGTGAGAGGGTGAGAGGGTGAGAGGATGAGAGAGAGTGAGGGAGGATGGCAGAGGAGTTGGACACCGGGGAGGTCGGTGGCTATGCTGCAATTAGTGAGTGCCCTGCTGTAACTTATCGACGCGAATGTCGTACGGTATGTCCAATGTGCTACGACACGGGGAAGGGGAAAGGGGGAAGGGAGGGGGGGTGTTATGGCCAATACCGGTACCAGTGTTGTACTCAAACTCAAGGCAAGAGGCAAGATGCTACTCTTGGGGGTTACTTTGTGTGCCATTAGGCGTCTGTGCAAGTACGGATGCTTTATGTCCGAGAAAGCCTACCCAGGTACGCGTCTTTCCCACCTTCGTACAACTCTATACCGTAGGCTATGTTACACTATTGGTGCGCACGGGGGGCTCACTTCGCTCGATCAACCCTCGTCCTCCTTCTCGCTTTCCCTTCTTTCTCGCAGCCTGCTAATCGATTTTCCCTTCTCCCCTTCCTCCCCTTCCTCTCCTCTCTCTCCCCTTCCATTTTGCCATTTGCTCCATTTTCTTTGGTCTTGTATTGGTGGCTCTCATTCGTGTTTCTATTTCATTTCCTTTCATTTCTTTCACTATATCCCCCTCCCCCTCCTTCACCTCTCCCTCCCGCCCCCTCCAATTCTCCTCGCCCGTTGTTCGGATAGGTCGTTACCGTTAACCTCGTGGTGTTGCCCCGTTATCATATCATACCTTGACTTTCTTGCTCCTTACGGTGAGGCTCGACCCTGCCACCGTTCTGGGGTGACAACCGGGAACTTGCTGCGGTGCTCCGTGTAAGAAGCCGCATTTCTCGGCGTTTTTTTTTTTTTTTTCCTTTGCTCTCTGGCTTCGCTCTAACTGTTCATCTCCCGGGGAGCGTGTCCGCAAGCTCTGATTCATTAAATTATTTATTATTATTTTTTATCTTCTTGCTGCGAATACTTAACCTCATCGCTATCCATCACCCTTACGATCGGGGTGGGTGCCTCACGCCGGCATACCATTACGGCCACTCCTGCAGTATTGAGTTAAATATCCTCTGCTTTAATATCCCGGCACAGCTCCCGAGGTTTCTTTCTTTTGGTTACACAGTGCTTGGTTGGGGAGCTGATGAATTTCGGAAACAACTTTGCTACAAAACCTGTGCCCTGGAAAGCTAATAACTAAAAAGCTATCTTCATCTTCTCCCCACACTTTTAGAGGGACTTGACTTGGGGGCTCTCCGGATAGAATGGCGACGGTTCGTGATCTACTTTTCTTTTTTGTTACTGCTGACTGAACCGGTTGATCCGTTGCAGGCCAACCCTGAGCGTGCGCAACCTCACAAGAGCCCTTCTGAGTCACTGCGGCTTGACGATGAAACCCTACGGTATCTACCAATTACTTCTCCACGCGTTTCTGTTGGGGTCCCTGACGGATTATCTAGGCTGGTTGGGCAAATGGTCATGATAGGATTCGAAGGGCTCGCCGTGACCCCCGAGATCCGGATGATGATTGAGAAATATTATGTTGGAAACATACTCTTGACACGGCGGAATATTCAAGGTCGGTGCATTTCTGGCCCTGGAACTGTGGGGATTTGTGAGGATTTTGGCGACGGCCCGGCTCTGACAAATGCATAGATGGTGTTCAATTAGCACGCCTGACGCAAGAACTGCAGAATATTGCACAATCAGCAGGATTTCAGAGGCCCCTCATTATTGGTATAGATCAGGAAAATGGAATGGTACGCTACAAATACACCCCTTCGAATGTCATGCATCGTTGTGGCCCCACCTGTGTCTGTGTTACACCTCGGCTAACGTGGTACAGATAAGTCGATTAGGCGACGGAATACGAGGAACTCATTTTCCCGGGTCAATGGCTCTAGGAGCAACTAGGTCGCCAAGTCAAGCCTTCGACGTTGCCAAAGCTACGGCCAAAGAGTTGGTGGCTGTGGGGATCAACTGGAACTTTGCTCCTTTACTGGATGTGGTCAGTGAATCAAACTCATCTGTGATCGGTGTCAGGGCTTTTGGGGATGATCCGCAGGTAGTGGGACGGTATGGTGTTGCCTTCGCTGAAGGACTGAGAGCTGGGGGCATCGGCCATTGTGCAAAACACTTTCCTGGCACCGGACAGATAATAAATAAGGACGGGAGTAGGAGCTCTACTTTTAACTTCAAAACTCGCGATGAGCTGGGTACAAATGAGTTGATTCCCTTTCGGAGGGCGGTGTCGGCAGGACTGGATAGTGTCATGCTGACCTCCTCGATCTGGGGGGAAAGCCTGCGAGGTGATCGGAGAATTGCGGTTCCAGCCGATGCAAAGCATATTATTCATGACGTACTTCGAAGGCAGCTGGAATATGACGGACTCACGGTGTGCGATGTGACAGACATGCCTGGCTATGGACAGGGGCTCGATGTTGGGGAGGCAGCAGTAATTGCCGTCAAGGCTGGTTGTGACATGCTTCAAATATATGACAAGCCTGAAGCCCAAAGAAAAGCAATTGAGGCCGTGTACGAGGCTATTGGGACTGAGGAGATAGCTACGAGCGATATTTATCGTTCCTCGGGGAGGGCGCTGCAACTGAAAGAGCATTATTTGAGTTGGAGGACTGCTCTTGCAGCTCCAGACCCCCAACGTTTGTCTTCTCTCATGCAGGAACATCGGGCTTTGGCGCGAACGGTATACGAAAATTCAATAACAGTGGTCCGAGATGAAAAGTCGTTGCTCCCGTTGTCTTCGCGGATCAGGAGCACTGATAACATCCTCCTCCTGACCCCGGTTGTAAGGCCACTCTATCACCGGGCGCTAGATGAACTTCCAATAGACCCATTTGAGTGTTTGGGTCGAGCCCTTGCTCGACATCATCCGAAAGTTAGGCATGCGCCCTATACAGTGCGGGGTATTACCTCTACACATGTTGCTCTCATAAAGCGGGCAGCAGCTGTTATTTTTGTGGCAGCCAATGCGAACCGTCCGAATACCAATTCGCAGCTTGAAACTGCCGGAGCGGTTCACCGCCTCTGTCTGAATAAACCTCTAGTAACGCTAGCTGCTTGTGATCCCTATGAACTTTTGACTGATAGGACATGTGAGAAGGTCTCGATCTCTGTTCTTTTGCTGTGGCTGATGTCGTGTAGTTGGGACATATATGTGTACCTATGAATATTCTCCGATGGCCCTGGAAACAGCGGCTGCTGTGATATTTGGCGAACGCCATGCTTCAGGGTCGCTCCCTATCAGTATACCTGGCACGCCGGCCCTTCGCCAACAGCGTTTGTGGTTTGTTGAGGTATGGGAAAAGAGACGAGACCTTTTTGCCTCAGCAGACTTATGGCGAGATTGCTTAGGGCGGAAATGGCCACTGGACGCAAGCACGCTCAGTGCTTTGCTAGATCGCCCCGGTTATTCGAAACACTTTGTAGTCCGCCGCGCCATGACCAACGAGCTTTTGGGGCTTGTTGCAACTTACACCGTTATGGCTGGCCCTTCCCAACTTGTCGGAAGCCTGGCTTTGTTAATCGTTCGACCTTCCCATCGGTGAGTGTGATGTTTAGGATATCCATATCCTCGACTCTTTCTTTGCCTTGTCATTTGCTAAACATTCTTCTCACATCTGATGGTGATGTAGGAATTTGGGGATTGGGCTGTCTTTGCACGATGTAGCAGTTCGGCATTTGTCCAAACAACAAGGAATATCATCATTGCAACTCGGAAGTATATTCCCCCGCCTGTTTCCTGGCTTGCCCGTCGATTTACCTAGCGAGGATCTTTCTTGGTTTGCGCATCGGGGCTGGAAGCTTGAAGACAAATTTCTGTACGACCTGTACATGCAGATCGACACATGGTCAGTTCCAGAAGGGGGCATGCCCCCGCTATATGAAAAGGGGGTCTCTTTCAGTTGTTGCAATGCCGATCAATTCGATGCTTTGATTGAGTTTGAAGAGAAGAATTTTGGCACGTACCTTGGTTGGGTGGACAAATACCAGGCGTTGAAGGCTACGGATGATATAGCGGATGCCATGATTGCGTATACGAGTCAAGGGATCGTTGGAGCAGCTTTGATTTTCAGTCCAGTCGGGAATAATCAGATTTCGAAAGACATACCATGGCCGAAGATGATAGGAGAGCGGGTCGGCGGTATAGCCTGCATGGGGGTCAAAGGTGGGTTATTTTCTGTTGTTGATGGCCTCGTGCTTTGCTAATATGCATCCACCCTCCAGCCGAATGCAGGGGCCAAGGAGTTGGTCTTGGGTTAATATGTGCTTCTATAATGGAGTTGAAGCAACGTGGACTTCGAGGTTGTTTCGTAGACTGGGCCGATTTTGAAGGGACTTATAAAGAACTAGGTATGTCGTTGTGGGATACATATGAGTATGAGGATTGATGGGATAGCCTGGCTGACCGCTGTGTTAGGGTTTTCACAATGGGGCAAGTACAGAGAGATCTGGAGGAACGTTTAGTTTTTCTTTCACGGACGTGATGTGCGCTTGGTATGGGCATTACAAAAAAAAAGAAGGAAAGGAAAGAACAGAAATGGAGCTTTTTATTCCACGGGTTTTGCACGAGGGACGAAACCCAACTTTTCATCTTTACGGGTCATTCCATATCAAGGGCGTTTTTCATTCCTTTTTTTCTTTTCGGGCGAGAGACGGCTTTCTCCCGTCCGTTTGTTTCGTTTTTGGCTTTACTTTATTGTATCTCGTGTAGCGCGTGTTTTGCTTTAGGGGTCCTCTTTCTCCATTCTCTCTGTATATTGAATATTTGGGTTTTTTTGTTTTGGAGGGAGGTGGCCTGGGAGACTTTTAAAACACTTTGCTAGCCTGTTTCTTGTTTCCTCCCTACTCATTGGCTGGCCGCTTTGGTTGACCTGGGCTTCACTTCGCTTGTATATAAGTAAGGTGCGTTTCCTTGAAAAGGCTCGAGCCCGCCATACTAGAGAATGGGTTATCCTCCGAGCTACAGTACCGGTGTCTCGAATATCGGATGCGCGCTTCGTTCCAAATTGCTGTTTTTGGATCATGGGTTGGATTAGGAAATTGATGTATCCTGAGTCTGAGATTGGCTGGAATAAGCCGGGTGTTTGATCATATCCTTGTTTTCTCGCATTATCAGATAGGCGGGAGCTGTGAACGTGTATTCGCCCTAGTTGGCAAGCGCTGTGCTAGCGGCTGTTGGTATGGTATAGCCGATAGGTAGCCCCCCGTTCTCCGGATTGGGTGCGGGGTCGAGGGAAGTGTTATATCACAATGTCACGCTCCGTACGAGTAGCTTCTTGCGAGCTTCGACGTGACGCTCCGCGAGAGGACAGCATGATGCCTCGATCGCTGCGCTCCGAACAGCGAAGTTCCTGTACGAGTGCTGGCACTGTACCGCAGGGCTGGCTGGGGCTCTAACAAGGCACAGGGATTGTGTGTGCTCCTGGGTGTAACGCAGCAAAAAGGAAATGATAAGCTCTCCGTTTTTTCTTGTGATTACCTTTTGTTCTGTATGATACATTCTGTCTCATCTGGGTCGCTGACACGGATACAACGGGTTCTCTGCGGATAAAACTTTTTACTTGACTCATCATTGTGTTTTTGTTCAAGGCAGAATGAAAGGATCACCTCTCTGTATGGGGGCATCATTCACTTATTATTTCTTAAAATAATAATAATAGTGCAATATCTCCGAACAATCTCCTCCCCCCCCACCCACTCCAGGCTGAGTAAAAGGGAATATCATAGTCTATACATCATACCAAATCTCGATCAGTGTCGGGACCTTCCTGTTCACAGACTATCACTCGAAACATATTCGCCACCTCCCGTCGAGCATGCCTGCCTCGCACTTATCAACTTACGGTATGATATTCCCGACCCATCGCACCGACCCCTCAAGCTGAGTTTTGTTTTTATGAAACCTCCCACACACTATCTCTTCGCCCTCCGTCCTGCATGAAAAACCCGTTACCGGGTTTCTGGGTTACGCGATTGGTTGAGGGGCGGGTATTGTCTCGGAGTTGAGGCCGGTATGCGGTGTTTTTTTCTTTTCTTTTCTTTTTTTTTTTCCCCCTCTCTCTTTCCTTCGTGATGCGGGAGGTTGTGGCATGTGGGATGGGGGGGGAGGATTTACTTTCTTACTTTTCTTTCCCGGAGGAAGGAGCAAGAGTACAGTATGGTATTATGGAGGGATATATATCAAACTGTGGTTGGTTTGGGCGGGTGTGTGTGGGATTGGGTTGTGTGTGGGGGGAGTAAGTGAGTGTGAGTGATACTTTGATTAGGTTGGGTTGGGAGGAGATAATACAATATCAAAGTTGGGAAACGATCTGGGAGGGTAGTGGGTTGTTTAGGGCGGTGGTGATGGAGAGAGGAGATTTTAGGTTATTTTTTTTTTTTTGGTTAGCTTTTGGATGTGATTAGGTATCATAATTATGTTTGTGTGTGTGTGCACGTGAATGGATAGGGTTCGATTACCGTAACGGTATTTTGGAGGGCTGACGCTACTTGTACTTACGGGGGGGAAAGGTTGGAGAGTCCCGGGCTTTTCGCCCCATGCTGTGGCACAGGACATGTGTTCTACACTTCATACGCTGCTCCTGCTTGTGAAATTCTGCGGCAGCCGGTTTGTAGTATCATACGCTAGCCTCGTTTCTCCCCCTGTACTGTACTGTACAAGTATGGGAAACGGAATGGTCAAGTAGCCCGAGCGCTGTGTGGTGGCGATCTGGTGTTTATCGCACTAGCCCGTGTCTGGTGTCCGACAAGTCATCTGGGAGAGTGTCGCTGGGGTGAGAGGAGGGGGGAAAAGAGAGGTGTTTTTCTCCTCCGTGCTACAAGTACTGTAGGTTACAGGATGGGGTCTGGCTTTTGTGTTTAACAGGCGAGGCCACGTGGGCGGGAGCCGTGGGAGTGCCTGGCCTAACTTAGGCTGCATTGGGCTGCCTTAGAATAGGCGTGCGCGAGTACTCCTACTTGTACTTGTACTGTACTAGTACAAGGCCCAGGTGAGACCTTAGTTAGTGCGGGTGCCTTATGCTTGAATCACACTAGGGGGTCTCCGGCCGTGAAGGGTCGAACACCCCCTTGCCGATCACCGGGAGGGCCCGGATATCTAGATCTGGAGGAGGTGATTCGATCTGCCGTGTCCTTGAGTAACTCCTCCACACTCCTGCTTCACCTCCGCTTGCTCAAGTGCCGGCACTAACCCAATTGCCTATAGTATTATAGGAAGGTTATACTTTACCAGATGGGTATAAAGGAGAGCCGGCGCACAATTTCTTGCATTATTCCTTGGCATCTAGCAAGAGGGCAGCTCGTTCTGCCTTCTGGAGTCTAGAGGGTTCTGATGTAAGGCTGTGTGTCGCTTGTCCCCGCCTATATCGAGGGTAGTCTCGGATCTGGGCTCACCGTCGGACTGGCCGGGGGCTAATGCGACGGGGGAAGTACCGAAGAGGCCGGAATGGGGTGGGGGGTCGTACTTTCCTAATTTGTCATAGGGCTGATGTTGGATCGGATGGTGAAGATGTATCCCTGAAGTTGCAGGGTGAGGTACTGTGTTGCAATTTGAGTGGTATTCGGGATGATTGAGGGCCACGGGAGCTGTTGAGTTCCAACCTACTGGAGTACTCTGGAGCTTGGTTGGAGGACATAGGTTACCGGGATAGGATGGAAACTCAGGCACTTAGGAAGTTGCCGACCCTTCGGTTTCATAACCTAGAGCTAGAAGGAGGGAGGCGCGTGGTAGCGGGGCGGAGATATAGCCTTATTTCTCTCTGGAACTTTCTCCACTTTCTTGTGGAGAATCCAACCATTCTTCACATTGCTCTCTGCCTAGCTCGCTTCTTGCTAGCTAGGCGGATTCATGGATCCTCACTCGACCAAGAGTCACCTGTCACTTTCCTGCATGTAGAACCCTCCACCCCCCCCCAAGAAAAAACAAAAAAACGAACTATCTTCACCCCTTTGGGATTAGAATCTTCCAGAGCATCACTCCTGGTATCTCAGAGTTGTGAAACCGGGTTTGTGGAGAGAATACGCAATCTTCGGACCAGGCTTATGGAGATACTTAATCTGGACGCATGCATGCTTAAAAAGGCAAATGCGGGCTGGTTGGTCAACAGTCTGACACGCATCTGGGACGGGTAGAGGAATTCACAGGGTAGACAAACTTCAATTCTCCCTTCACGAGCTACAAGTTGGCCCTCCCGGAGCTAAGTATCCCTAGCTCTGATGAAGTTGAACAAGAAGGCACCCCGAACCCTCAAAGGATAATCGTCCTCAGGGCCAAAGCCACTCACATGGCGTTGGATCATCCGCAGAGTAGGAAACGCCCCTGCCCTGGGCGGGCCTATCAGGAAGAGAGACAACTGACGTCCTACTTCTTATATTTCCTCCGCCCCCACAGGCAAAAAAACAGCTGGCCTGCGAGCTAACCCGGCAATTAAGATAGACGTCAAGTGACGCATCTCGGACTCGCCATTTCCGCCCTCACCGCCATACTCTTCCCTAACTGGGCAACTTTCATCGCAGACTCGTGTTCGGCAATCCTGTACGGATAGGGTGATATATTTCCTCCGGAGTCACCAACAGGATTCGGGTATATTTTATCGTTCACATCACCCTGAGGTGTGGTGTCCGCTTCTGTTTTGTTTAGGCATTTTCGAGGAGATAGATGTTCTGATTAGTCGTGAATTGCGGGTGCTTGTGATGGAAGCATTTCGTGGCTTGTGAGGTTGAGGATAGGGAAATGTTATCTTGGTTTTGTTTTATTGGTGAAGTTGGGTTTTTTTTTAAAAAATTTCCAACTCGCATTGCCTACCAAGTGTGAGGCTACATAGCCAGGGAATCTGATTATTTATTTATATATTGTGTGATAAGTGCTTCTGCAAATATACTAAAAGGTGGAAAACGGGATCACCTGATCTCAAAGATCTAGTCGGATCTGTAGCACTTTCTTCCTTCTGCCCTATACCCGACCACCTGCCGACAGCGAAGCATACCCGGAAGGCAGGGAGGAATGGGCGGGGTGAAGGGGGTAGGAAGAGGCCGGGGATAGAGTGAACATACATGCCAGACTTTGTGGAAAATACAAAAGACAGCCTCCTGCGAGAGCTCCATGATAAGTCGAGTTGGGTGATATTGGCCTGGAGGCGCAAGACTGGCCATAAATGGAACGAATTGTTTCGGAGATCTCCAGTCTATCATGTATAACCCTTCAAAAACCCCGTATGCTGTCTGGATCAACTAATAATGGCCCTTCCCTGTTACTGTAACCCGAAATTACGCTCGATTGCTTGCTGCAAGAGGGCCCTCGTCGTCCGGAAGAGGGGGGTTGCAGTCCTGGAAAAGAGGGGGAAACCAAGCGAGAACAAAATTTACATGAAGAACAACTGGATAAGAAACAATACTATACCTACGGGAGCAAGCAAGTGCCGAGGCAAGAGATCTCTCGTAGGGCCTTGCTCATGTGGAATTGTAGG